TAAATTTCGAATTCTAGAAGAAGGAATTAAAAATTAATAAAAAAAGAGATATTAATAAAATATATATCAAATTCAATTAACATTGAGAAGCTAAAATTTTGAGAGCTAATTTTTTAAAAACTTCTCGTGCGATTTTTACAAAACTTGTCCGTTTAGCAAAATTTGAGTCATAGAATCGAAATATGAAAACAAAATTGGGATGTCATTTCAGAAAAAAACCTATTTTGTGTCAAACTACGAATATTAGAACAACGCTGTATGTAAACCTAATATATATTCTTAAGTCGCGCTTTCGAGACATGAAAAACGCAAGTTGAATTTGATCAATCGGCCCAGTACAACGGGAGATATAGAACTGACCTTCCCTCCCCCTCCCTTTTTTGGGGGGGTGGGCATCCTACTTTTTTGCATGTATGAATATCAGGTGTAAGTATGATAGCTTGAGGTAATTCTGATAGTGTTTTAGAGTGAAGGATATGTTATTCTATGGATATATTACATTCATTTTCATTTACATCAGTAAAAATAGTACTATTTTTGTTTTTGTTATATTATTTCATATCTTCCTTTGTTTTCAATAATTTTATGTAAACATATGTGTATTTCTATACCGCTGTCGTTAATAAAAAAACTGTAAATTTACTAATTATATAATGTAGTTTTACATTAACTAATTTTGAATATCTGTCATCATATTTAATGAATAAATGATCGATATATTTAAAAAAGAATGATATTGTGTTATACATGTATATTTATATTTGCATGTTTAACATCGTTTATTGTTTAATCTAACTGAAACCATTGCTGATAAAATTCAGAATTAAGGTGACTTGCAAGCATTTTCATTGATTAAAGACAGTTATAAAAGGTAATTGTGCATCAGCTAAACGTTTTGAGGACTAAAAGTAGTGAATTGTACATATAATTAATACGTTTCTGCTGAGGATGATCCAGATAGCTAAATAGTAAGTAGCTCACTCTTTCTTTTATTTTCGTTTTTTATTTCTTCACTTCTCTATTTTGGCAAAATTTGTGATATATTACAACATCCTTTTATGTAAGCTATAGTTTTTCATCAAGATTTGAGCTTAAAGTTACCTATTTAACCAGAAATATTACCTGATGTGTCATATTCATTATTGAAGTTATCATTTGTTGTGTATTACGTGGAGTTAACTTATGTGAAACTGCTTTATGTGTAGAATATAATTCAGAAACTTATTTAAATAAAGTGCAAATTAGAAAGACAACAAATTTTGTCTGATATTTGAAGTTAATGTAGAGAATCCAAATATTTTGGAGGTGAATACATGCATATATACTCATACTACATATGCACAGATGTCTGTATAAATATATATCCTACTTGTACATAGTAATAACTGAAAGCAAGAAATTGCTAACATTGTTTTGAGAAAAATGCATTAGGTGTTGGGAGTAATTGACTACTAATTAATGGTTACTTTATCTCTGTCTCAAAGACTGAGGAAATATTTCTTTCTTTCCACATACTGGAAAATATGAAAAAGCCACTTAAATATTTCATGTAAATGAAAAAAATATGGTGTGGCTATCACAGAGTTCTTTGTATGGCCTATTAAATTATACATATTTTTTGCTGCACTTCATTTAAACTTATTTCTTCGGATTATTCGAACTTAAAAAAACGATCCCTCAAGGCAAGTTGAAAATGACATCAAAAATTGTAAATTTTGAAATTAAGTAAATTAATTTTTGTCATACGAGAGTCAAACTTATAGTTTTATTTTTTCATAGCGAGTATAAAATTTCCCAAGTACAGGAAACGGGAGTCCGCACTAAAAGTTAGACTTCATTAGTTATCTAAAATTAATTTTATTTTTACTTTGCCAAATTAAGAATATTTTCGTCAGCTAAAACATTTCTGTAACTGGAAGTATATGACTACGACCAACGACTGCGAAAAAAAAGCCTGTTAAGGACTTCTAAGCCGGTTAAGGAGGCGGGTGTCTACATATATAGAACCTTTAAAATTACCTTTTTATTGTTCTTTGAATATATATATATATATATCCATACACACACGCGCGTTTTGGTACTACCGATTGCAATAAAAAAAGGGAGACATGCAACTAGATTAAAGTGACCACACGTCCCGATTTTGGCGGGACAGTCCCGCATTTTAGAGGACACCGCGTCCCGCCGATTTTTAAAAGTGTCCCGCTTTTTAGAAAACATCTGCATTTCTTATTTTAAATTTACTGTAAAAATATGTAACCTATTATTTATTAACTATTTTAGTGAATATAAATAAATCAATAAATAATAAACACATAAAATGCATGCAGAGTAAACTAAATTAGGCGATGTAACGAGTTAGATTTACTCGGTGGCGTTCGATCATTGTCGTTACGGCTCGTCAAGGAATTATGTATTGTTAACGGAGGAACAGCTGAAGCTAGCATTAGCTGAAGGAAGGGCTATTTGTTTCCACACGATAAACCACAATCAAAGTTTCAAATCAATTGATTGTACGTCGCAAATGATCAAAACATTGTACGACAAAATATTCGCACGTGCAAGGACAAAACCCGAAACAATTATTTGTAATGTTTTTTCACCATATTCGTTTTCACAATTGCAGAAAGAGTTAGATAAATGCACATTTATAAAAACATATTATGATGCTTCCAACCACAAAGATTTAAAATTATTTCCCACAATTCTTTGACCTTTTGATCTAGAAACAGGAATTAAAATATTAATATTAGATTTTATTTCATTGCCCGGTGAAACTTCACAAATAATTTTTATTCAATAAGTACTGTTTTAAAAAAGAATAATGTGAACAATAAAATTATTGCCCATTGTGAGGATAACACTAACGAAAATTTTGGTGGAAAAGCTAGAAGAGGCATCATTAACGTTTTTACGAAACTTAACGTTTGAACAAAAAAATTTTTAAAAAAAAGTATTCGAGTAGGTTGTGCAGCGCACATTCTGCACAATACTATTCAAACAGCATCTGACTTACTACCAGGGGATTTGAAAATATTATTGCAAAAATGTATTCGTATTTTTATATATATACTGTACGTGTCGAAAGTTTTAAGGATTTTTGTGAAAGCGCAGAAATCGAATATAAAAGAATTATTGGTTACAGCAAAACACGATGGCTTAAAAAATGACACATCACAAATTTGGCTTCAGTTCATCCACAACCAAACTACATTATTTGACAATGCTGTGAAAATTATTAAAGGGGACAAAATTTCAAATACGGAAGTGGCAAATGAAATCAATAATTTAATAACAATTTAAAAACAAAATTGCGAGAAACAATTTAAAACAATTTAAAATCAATAATTTAAAAACAAAATTGCGAGAAAGAATTGATAGCGAAAGTTAGTTGATTGGTGAATTGATAACTTTAGTTATTTGAAAGGACATCACTAGGTTGGAAGCACAAGGTGCCATTAAACGACCTGATTTTCTGAAAGAAGTCAGAAATTTTTATAATAAATGCTTGGAATATCTTGAAGAATGGACAGTTCAATTCGAGGATATTAAAAACTTTCATTGGGTGACATTTAAAAAAGGAGATTTTATGGGAATATTTGGAAAAATCTTTTTAATGTATTAGTAACCATTTTCCGAAAAATAATATTTGCGAAAATGATCTTTTTAATGAGGTGTCATTGGTAAAAAGATACGTTACTGATGAAAAAATTAAATGTTGGTTGTCTGCAAATGTGGAAACAGACAAAAAATGGACGGAGTTATTCCTTCACTTTAAACTGAATAAATATTCCTTATGAAAATATTTTGAAATTGTAGAATACGCGGTCCCCTTTCAGGAACAAATGCAGCCACAGAACGTATTTTTCTAGTATCAGTAAAATATGGACAATTGAAAAAACGCAATTGAACATTAAAACTTTAAAATCTGTGTTAAGCCTAAAATAAAATTTGACATGACCCGAATCTATTGCAAAGTATTCACTCGGATAAAAAGAAAATTATAATTTTTTTAAATAAATATTAAATTAATTAAAGAGCATAATATTCAAATTATTGTTTTTTACAAAAATTTTTTATAGTTACCACTAGTTAATAATAAATATAGTTTTGTTTAATTATAGACAAGTATATGAATATATACAATAAAATATATTGTTTTGAATTATTGGTTTGCTTTCATAAATAAATTAAAATTCTAAATTGTCCTGCTTTGTCTGAATGAAAATGTGGTCACTTTAAACTAGATGGTATATCAGTTCCATGTATAAAATTTCAACGTTCTACAGCTAATAGTTTTTGAGTACGCGAAATACATAATGTGGTCACTAAAACTAGATGGTATATCAGTTCCATGTATAAAATTTCAACATTCTACAGCTAATAGTTTTTGAGTTACGCGAGATAAATACATACGTACGTAATCTTTTATTTCTATACAATTGAATTTTTTTATAATTTAAAATTTAAAATTAGCTTTTATAGGAATGAGAGAATATTTGTTTATTATAATATATATATATATATAATATTATAAGCTAGGTTTAAGTACAAGAAGAAGTTTTGCCCGTAAAGTTTAAAGTATACATTAATAATGTTGGTAATGGAAAAGGAAGAAAACTAATTTACCATAACTCTTTTTTGTCAAATCAAACTTTAAGCAAACTGACATTAGCGGAAAGAATTTTGTTTTTAAAATTAATGAATTACAATTTGAAAGCATTATTAACCAGATTTGTAATTATTATATATAATATATAGTTATAGATACTGTAAAAATGTTTGTAGCTCGTAATCTTAAGATTAGCGTAATTTTTCTGCAGTAGTTATTTTTTAAATATTTTATTTATTAAACTTTATTTTCCATTGATTAGCATTAATAGTTGCTGTTGTCACGTATTCTAACAATAAAATTTGATTTAAAGTGTTTGCTTATGCATAGGAGAAAATTGCGTTTGTGTAAATATTTTTAAAATAAATGAAGCGCTGTTTCCAAAAACCGAAAAAATACATGTGTAAGAATTCATTAAACATTTTTGTTTCGCTTTTAGAAATACTGATTAGAATGAAAATATTTTTCTAGGAAATGACTTGGTAAGATTTTCCTTGTAACATCGAACTCCTGGGTTGTGCAATTCGAGTAACTTGTTCCTTGTGCGACCACAAAATGGGCTGGCCTAAAAACGAATGGGAAAAAACCGGCTACCAATTTTTTCCTTCTTTTTCTGGAGCAGGCGCCTCTTTGCAGCTGCACGTACATCTGTGACGTCAGAGGAGCGAAGTTGCCTCCCATGTCTTTTCCATATCCTGTTTGGGTTGTTTCCTTTTTTATTATTTTATTCATTTCTTTTTCCGCTTTCGTCTTTCCCGGAGTTTTCTTTTACTTTTTTTTCCCTTCCCCTTTTTTTGGCGTTGGTTTTCGACTCGACTGGAAGATAGTCAGTTTTAACGTCTGCTTCGTTGCCTTGGTAAGTAATTTATTATTTTGAATTACTATTCGTTAATTGTATGTATGTAAGAGTTCAGTAATTTATATATTATGTAGCAATATGTTAACTTTAACTGAGTTTCAATGAGGATGTAAAACTTTCCCGTAAATCTATTTTTACTCTCATTTCGAGCTCAGTGTACTGTTAAAAGCAGGTGGCATTCCTTCGTTGAGGGTTGCCAGCTTTTGACGGACGATTTTGAACGCGGGTTTTCAGCAGAAACGCTTAATTCTTAACTGTATTGGTTATTAATACAATTGCGATCTATATTTTTTAGGGTTATAATTTTAGTATCTGCTGTAATAATAGCCCTAAAATCTAATCAAAGTTATACATATGTAACCGTATTTAAAGTCAAAATGATGCGACTTTAATTGCTGTGTACAGAAAACACGCAAGAGTGTTTTAATTACTGCTTCTGAAGTAAAGATGGGTTGTCATTATGAAATCGTTTACATTGTGTTTTAATTACTGCTTCTGAAGTAAAGATGGGTTGTCATTATGAAATTCGTTTACATTTTAACAATATAGTTATATCTTGTTCATAAAATTTGGTTTTAGCATTATCCTTTTTAAAAATTTTCATCGTCTTGAAAGAGAATTCTGATATTTTTGACTTACTAAAAGAATTTTTTTAAAAAAAAATTAAATTCATTAAAATGTAAAAATGAGTGTTTTTCACTTGTATCACGTGAATAGGACTCAGTTTCTTTCAGAAAGGCCCTCCACAAAACCAGTCTCTTTTAAGGTAGATAATTCGAGCCTATTTTGCCACTGTCAGTTAGTTAATCAAGCAAAGTTTTCCGTCGGCGGGAATCGCAACTACCAGTGGCTTGCAGATTTAGCAGGTTGGCTGCTGGTGGATCAAATGCAAATTTGTGGATAGTAGCGTTTTTACAAAAGTTTTTTTATTAATAAAATGCTTATTCGTATATTCTACAACAGTAATAATGATAATTAATGTTGGTATCGAACATTTGGCTAATGAGCAGGCGAATGAACTTCCTTCTTTGGTTTATTCTTCCAATTTATATTATGACTTAACGATGACTAACCAAATCGGTACATAAGTCGAAAAGTGAAAGTAATATCACTGAGAAAAACTAAAATCAGAGCTCAAGTGGATTTTAACCAATCGTGCAACTGTAAACTAGATAATTTTCATTATTTTATGTCTTTTGATGACGAAACATTGGATATAATACTGTGGACTACTGCTTATCCGGTCTCACCGTATTTTCTCTCATTTTTTTTTTTTTTTTTTCCGCGAGTTAAATTTCCGTTGCTAATTCAAGGAAAAAGTAGTGCATTGCACTCAGAGACGTTTTACACCGTCAAGAAAGTAAAGGTAACAGATTACTGCGAATCTTAGTTTTGGAAGATTCTTGGATTTATGCATCTTTTAAGGGGCTATATATAAAACTCATTAACAGATGCTACCATCTAACATCTCGAAGAATTTTCCATTTATGTTTTAAAATGGCTTTTTAAAAATTTATAGATTTCTAAAAAGTTTAAATTTTATATTTCCTACTCAGATTGTTGGAGGCTGGACAATCTCGAGAAGATATTCTGTTACTTTAGAATAGGCATTTAAGGACTATTTTAGTCCTCCCGGCATGCCTCGTAACCATGATAACAGGAACTTATGTCTAAGTCCCCTAATTTCCCTCTCCCCCACTTCATATCCGTTTAACATGTTTTCTTCGTGAAAAACGAGGTGACGAGGGAAGGATGATTTGAATTACAGAGTCTCAGGTAAAATGAGAAAAATATATGCTGTGAGGTGATGACGACGTGTACTTTATCTGCAAATAATGGAGGGTCGTAAATCCTTGAAGTACTTATATTAAAACAACAGACTAGTGTAGGAATTTATATTCCAGAAAGTCCATATAAAGGGTATAAATTCACGTATTAGAAAGCTATTAAGAGTAGCATTACCAAGTTGGAAGTGGGGGTGGGACTTGTTATTGTAGTATTCTAAGGTAAATTAACGCATTATGGAATCTTGTGTGCATCTACGTATTAAAGGAATAATTATTCAAAATAGAGTTGTGCATTATTTCACTGGAATGTTTATGCATGAAGCTTGCAATAAATATTTATCTCAAGTGAAGTAACAATACTTTCCCTAACTTGAATCAGAAATAATATTTGGCGTTTGAAAAGGGGGGGAGGAACAAGTAATTCATTCTGATTAAGTAGATAAATGTGTAATAAATATTAATATACAATATACATATGCTTAGATCGGAAGTATTTGAAATCAGGCAAAGATCAACTGAACTGATTTGAATTAAATCGTCTGCCAGTTTTCAGGAACGATTTGATGCGTTTCTCTGCTTATGAAGTTCTACCTATCAAATGCAAAGTACTGGGGATGGCTCAGAAATGAATAATATTTAAAGGCACAATTTGTTTTTCTGTTTGTGTGGATTTGAATTACACCATCTGTTTTATTTTATTTTTTCTGTTGTAGATCAACGTGCATCAAACAGTTTTTTCCAGAAAATTATGTGCTGTTGACCATCGTTAGATTGTGTTTTTCTTATCTCCTATGATAGTGCTGGCTCACCAGTGGCTGTGTGGTAAAGTTGCTAAACACTAATAGTTCGACCTGAATTCGATTTCAGGCGAACAGGCTGGTTGCATTGGCGTTTGCGTTACTTTCCTCTTGTAAATTGTGGATATGAACTATTTTCCATAAGAAAGTCCACCGTGAAGGCATCCTTCTCATTAGGCAGATAATCCTAGCGTGTTTTGCCATAAACAAATCAACTTGTAACAGTGCTCATGTTTTCAAAGTAAGAATTATCAGTGAAAGGTTTGACCCTGCGTTAGGCACGTGGTTAACCGAGCGCTTATGCTGTATGGGTGCGCAGTTAACATCTGTCACCCACGCGCTTAAGTATGTCTTTCTATTTCGTTCTATGCATATTGAAATAATTAAAAAGATATATTTCTCGCGTTTAAAAAATTTTACAGTCGGAATGAACTCACAGCGAAAGTAAACATGCATGTCGCTGGAAGTATCAGATTGTAGCTCATGTCTTTCAAATACCGCATACACCAGGTCATATTTTCTTTTGGAGAGAAAATATTTTCAGTGATTAATATATATGGATTACGGCAAAGCACGGAAGGGCTTCCTGGAAAACATTTTAAGGGACTTTAAATAGTATTCACATTACGTAAACGAAAATCACGTCAAATCCCACGCAGCGAGATCGATCGTCGGGATTTGAACCCTAGTCGAATTATCAGTAGTTAACAGTCTTATCGCACTTGCCGGTAGTGGGCACCGAAAAGACGGTTGTAAGTATCTGTCGGCGACCGATTCTACTTGACATGTAATGTTTAGCTGTTACAGTGAAAAAAAAGTGGGGGATCAAAATTAATATACTGAACGATGAGAAGAAAAAATCCAAATTTGTTGTTACCAGGGTTATATCGTTTACAGATAAAAAAAAAGACTATGGATAAGAAAGAGAGAAGGATTATAAAAATGCCAAATGTTTTGTCCTCAAGTAAATATTAGCCGATATAACTGATAAGTACCAAAAATTGTTTGGTGCAAGTTGTCCTTCAAAGAAAAAGGAGCCCCCTTTTTTTTAATGATAACACAAATGCACCTATACAAATTTGTGTGTCAGCATTTAAGGAACGGACACATATGTTGCTTTTATATATATATCACCACTGCTTTCTCTCTCTCTCTCTCTCTATATATATATATATAGCGGTGGTTCTTTGTTGAAATTTTAATCTCTAATTGGATAAAAAAATATCCGCAGTGTTACATGTTACGTAAGGTGATATAATAGTTAATTCTGAGATGACGCACTCTAGATTCTTTGCACAGGAAGGGAAAGTAACCTAATTAAAATGAGGAATAAAAAAGACTGTTGCCAGGTGTCTCAAAATTAATCTCCCATGCCAACTAATGTAACATGTAGCATTGCGGAAACTTTCTGTCCAATCACAGATCAAAATTTCAACAAAGAAACGAAACTATATATCATGCTGCTGCTAAGTGTGCACCTTAAGGCTGCTATCACACGTCGTTTTGTTTCGGTAGAACAAAACGGAAAAATTTTTCTGCTTTGTCACAACAGCCAATCACCATAGATCGCTTTGGGGGCAAACATAGGGAAAACTGGTTTCCCATTATAAACAAATTGATAGCTGATTAGTTAAAAACGAACAACTTGCATTTTTTTTTTTTTTTTTTTTTTTTTGAAAAGATAGAAAAAGTCGCACGTCTTTCTTTCAATAGTAAACCAGGCAGAAAAATTGTCTGAAACAGTTGTTTGTGTGAAACAAACACCGTGTGATAGGGGCCTAAGAGGTTATCGCTTTTAGAGACAGACCCTGCTGGATGGGACTTTTCTGAGAAACGAGATTTTGGTAGCACTGGTTTAAAGGGAGGATTCTTAGAAAAAAAAAGCCCCACTGGAAGCGAAGTCCCGCCTATCTACGCAAACGATGTTGCGGCTACGCGGGACCTCACCGAAAATGTCTCGGATGGACCTCTGTTCCGGGTAGAGATAAACCAATCAGACGAAAGGTCTGCTTCTGAAGGATCACGTGATCCCAATCTGAGCGAAAATCGTTTACTGTTTGGCGTTCGAGAAGTCTTTGTAGTAAGTAAATAGGATAATCTAGCTACGTGGGTTTTCTGGAAATGTGTGGGTTCTGAGAATTGTCCCTTTCGACGTCCAGTCCCGCGTAGCCGAAACATAATGTGATTAGAACTTTACTTTCTCTATTTCCTCAATCTTTGCGATTACATGTCACTGACCTACCTATCTCGTCTATTGTCTAAATATGTGACAAATTATGTAACATTGTGACTTGCATATGGACCCATAATGATGTGTGAGTGAGAATATGTATCGAGAATTAAGTGTCCAGTAATAAATTATGTCACCTTGTCTTCAGCCACGTCTGTCAATGAATGCCATCTTATGAATATC